ATTTGTGGATAGGACTCCATCTACAGTTTATTTCAATATTTATTAATTAACTAAAAATAGTGATACTTAGGGCTGTAGCGAAGCCTCGACGAAGTCGACGGCTCGATTCTAAAAATTTGTCGACGTCAGATCCGGAAGTCGACGCACCGCGCCCACTTGTTGCATCCCCAGGAGTTTGTAAATAGAGGAGGAATCTGCCTGTTTTTCCTCTAGTTCGCCCTCTTCTCCGCCTTCACTAACATCTCCGCCAAATACCGAAGACCCGGAACAACGTCCGTCCTCTACTAGATTATTTTCCTGTTTTGCCCGCCTTCGTCTCCCGGCAACGGACAACAACTTCCGGGGTCAGATGCGCTGCTTCGTGTCTATCGCAGATGTAGAAAATCACCGGGAGCGCTTCTCCCTTCATTAAGGAGCTTCTTTCAGACATGAGGAGAGCTGTTTTGGTGGTAGCAGTCTCTCATCCATGCTGGTCTGTTTGCTGCTGGGTGTTTTTGGTTTATTTAAACTTGGTAACTTGAACTTAATGTTGGTAAAGCTACTGTTAGCATCTTCGCTAACAGCTTCTTGCGTTTGGATAAGCTGTTACGTTTTGGTTTAGAGTTCATCTTTTTTGTGGTGTAGATCTCCCTTTTATTACATTTAGAGTGTTGTGGGTTTTCGGTTTAGTGTAAAATATCACCTGAGTTTGGTTTAACCCGTAAGACCACTCGCCTCACGCACATAAGTGACCAAAACAAAGCAGCATGGAGACACTCCATCTTCTACCACCTCTCAGGCAGCAGCCTGCACTCCCAAGTTCTACATGTCACCAGAACATAACCAACCAACACAATAAACGCAGTGTTATACAAAATGGAAGGCCTGTAGTGTTTGTTCTCTTACAGTAAGAATTTATCAATTTTTTTGAGGAATTTAATTGAGATTTTCTGGTTTTTGTTAATTGTGCAATAGAAAAATAATTATTAGATTAATTTTCTAAATAGTCATTAGAATTGTCGACTATTCGATAAAATAATCGTCAGAATAATCGTTTTAAAAATAATCGTTTACCCCCAGCCCTAGTGATACTGTTTATCTTAACCATAGACCGTTACATTAGCTACGTCACATTAACGCCAGCCCATGACTGTATTCTACAACTTGGGCGCCACCCAATTAAGGACGTCAGAGAAGCGGTCAGTCAGAGCGGGACACAACAAAGCTAGCAGGTGTTTTTGAGTAGGCTAACTTTCACGATGCTTTCGGGCGCGGCAAAACGTAAAAAGAAAAAAAAATGAAGAGGAACAAAAGAAGAGACGGCGGGGGCCTTACAGAAGTTTCTGTCGGGCTGCTCGGGCAGCCGTCCGACAGCTGTGAACCTGCTCGAGTCAGCAGAGCCAGAGGCCAGACCCAGAGCAGACACAGCCCGAAGATGCGGCGGGCAATGCGGCGGAAGACGCTGTAGCACCAACGCCGTCACAGAAGGGTGAACTGGAAGAAGAGCAGCCAGCCAGAAGTGAGCCCAATCTAGTCTTCCAGCAGGAGCCTCTAGACCCAGAAAGGGTGTTAACAAGCTACATCTGATCCTGCAGTGGTACATAACCAAACTGATGACAGGATGCGTGAGTACTTTGCACTAAACCATCCCTCTCAAAATATTGCATATTTCTCTGCATCACAGAGGAAATGTGGAGACACGAACCGAAGCTTAACCAAGGAGCATTTCTTTAGATGTGTTTCTGCTGCGACTGAGGCCTGTGATGCTGGAAGGCTGAAGATTATCCCGGAGTGGAGCGTGCTAAATGGTTTCCTTGGTAACTGTTGCTGGTTTTATTAATTTTTATTTTTAAATATTTTTATTAATGTTCAAATAACAAAACTAACAATAAGTTCACACTCAGAAAATAGACACAGAATTTCTGATTCAGCAGAGGCAACAACAGCCTGAATGAGCATAAAGCAAGATCAAAACTTAAGATAACGTTTTCATTTTATTAAAATACTTTCTTTTAAGATTATAGATTGTATAAAATTTATACTGTAATCATTTAAGCTGCGTGTTTATAGTTTGTTTTTGCGCCTTTAAAACATGCTTCAGTCCATTCAAATGAATCTATTTCTTCTTGAATGTCTTTCCACCATCATGTGATTAATTTGTCAACATTTATAAATGTTGTAAGCTATTGTATTTAGCAGAAAATCTTTTTAATTAAATGTGTTGATTAAATGTAAACAGAGCAAATAAGATGAATATAATTGCTCTGTTTACAGAGTATAATGACACCTAGTGGTTATTTACTGGTACCGCCTTGACATTGACACTCCCAATGGATAAGATGAGGATAATTTATTAGCATTTAACACAGCTGTGTAATGACGTATAATTAACCCTTTGATGCATAATGGTCACTACAGTGGACAGGTACTCAAAATTGTTATTTCTTTATTTTTGCTATTAAGCACAGCTGTTGAAGACTTTATTGCATGTGAGCCCCTCCATTTGAGCTTCAGCAAGTCGAGCCAACATATTTCATGTTCAGAATGCACGCTGTCCACTGAGATGGACATGTAATAAATTATTTGTAAATTAACAAAATGTTACAAAAAATATTTGTTGAAATTTGTTTCATTCACACCTAAAGATTAATGAAAAAAAATGTTTAAAAAAATCATGGTTGAAGATTTCATAATTCACGCATCAAAGGGTTAATATCAAAAATTGTCTGATAGAATGTTTTACATTCAAACAACCAATTTGTAACCGACGACTAGGCTACGTAAAATGTGAATGAACTTTTATAAGTAACTTTGGTAAGTTTCAGATTTCAATTCATTAAATAACATCGATGGAGGGGGGGGGGGGGGGCATAAAATGCAGCCTGCCTAGTGTAGTCTATTTATTTAATCCAGCTCTGTGTGTGTGTGTGTGTGTGTGTGTGTGTGTGTGTGTGTGTGTGTGTGTGTGTGTGTGTGTGTGTGTGTGTGTGTGTGCGCGTGCGCACGTGTGTTTAGTAAGTAGGAGCAGAGTCGGGTAGCAACAGAGAAGTGGACATGAGTAACTTCAGAAGTGAAAGTGTAAGTCAGAGGAACTCACGCACCTGCAGACCTTCTACCTCCGACTAAAACAAACTCAGGCCGACTTTTTCTATCTTTTCATTAACAGTTATTAGTGGACTCCTTCAAAAAGCAGCTGAAAACTGTTCAACCTGGCTTTTGCTCGACCTTCAAGTGACATATGTAGATTTTAACTTTGACTTTGTAGAGATATGGGTCTCTGTGAGTTGAGAGGGTGCTCGCTACACAACCACAAAGGTGGAGCTGCACCAGAGTCAGCCCCGCCCATCACGCAAACAGCAAAAAAAGATTTTAACAGGTGTTGGTTTGACTCCTCCTCCACAGACGATTAGTCAAATCCTAAACAAGGATGATACCCAAGAGACAAATGCACAATCTGAGTGTTTTATGTTGCACTCAGTTCAAGTTGAGCCAGTAAAAAAACATTGCTAAGGTCAAAGTTTTTTGAAGATATCAACACGACTTTAGTGCACTACACTTTTTAAAAAACCTGAAATGCCACCAAAATTCACAATGAACAGCAACACATTTTACCATAAGATCTGTTTTATTTTTGCTTCAATATTATTTGTTGTGCCTTTATGTTTAATAAAAATGTTGTCATCTCATTGCTCGTGAGCTCAAGTATATCTTATCACATGATCAGAAACCTCATTCATGCTCCTGGGCTGACTCACTCTTGCAGAAACTTTTTTCTTCCATCATCAGCGTGGGATTTAGATTTCTATCAGGATCCTTCGAGCAGCCTCTCGTTAAGCCCCACTTGAAGTTGGTCTTTGTCGTTGTGTTTTTAAGTCTGTAAAAGAGGAAAACGGTCTCCCAAGTTTTTATTTGATTGATGTTTTTTTTCTGAACAAGACCAAACATTGGCAGGAAGGGATTTTGATCGTTTACAGGTAGGAAATCTATGAAATATATATATTTTTGCAAGTGATATTTCATGCAAGAAAAAACATCAGTAATACGTTTCATTATAACATTTTGGTCACTTTTCATTTTTTATTGTTTATTTTAATCTGTCGTGCAATTTTAATGCACAGTCAGGAAATTTCAAAGACTTGTGGAATCCATACAATGAAAATGCAGTTTTCCAGTTAGTATAGTTCAAGAGAGCATTTGTAATGTAAGCACTTTGTAATGGATCTTTATATTCCAGCTTAAGTTCACTTATTGCAGAGTTGTTCGATGAGAACACAGTAATCACGTGTATTGCTACGTTGAGATTGGGCACCATCTGCTGGTTCAAAGCATTGTTACAGTCTTAAAATATGAAAAATATGCACAAAATCTTAATATGTTAGTTGTTTGATTGTCAAATAAATCAGGAATTACAATGAAAAATATAATGTTCTTTTTATTGTTTGGGTTTAAATGCTCCCAGACTGATTAGATATTTGTGTTTATTTGTTCTGCCTGATATACTTTTCTTCATTTTAGTTTTTGTCTTCTCTTTATAGCCTAAAATAAACCAAAATTTTATTGAAAATGTCATTTTTGTTGAATATTTTATTGCTTTAATTTTAAAGTGGTCAGACACATAGGGTCAGACACATGTTCTGTATATTTTACCCAGGTTGATGGAGTGGAACGATTTTCATTTGATCAAATATATTGATGACCAACTTGAAACAAACTTTTGCAATCCTTAAAAGTTATAGGACAGGTGACAATTCAGGTTTTTTTTCAATCCCACTAACAGCTGGTGGTATAAAATTGAGACACAATTGATTGAAATAACCCTTTGATGCATAACGGTCACTACAGTGGACAGGTACTCAAAATTGTTATTTATTTATTTTTGCTATTAAGCACAGTTGTTGAAGACTTTATTGCATTTGAGCCCCTCCATTTCGACTTCAGTAAGTCAAGCCAACATATTTCATGTTTAGAATGCACGCTGTCCACTGAGGTGGACATGTAATAAACTATGTGTAAATTAAATGTTACAAAAAATATGTAAATATGACATTTGTTTCATTCACACCTAAAGATGAATGAAAAAAATAGTTTAAAAAATCATGGTTGAAGATTTCATAATTCATGCATCAAAGGGATAATGTTTTATGGATTTTTGTTGTGAGGATTATTATTATGCATTTATTATTTATTCATTTTTTGTCTTGAGTTTCTGGGTTTATTTGAAATGTGCAGTGGAGCAAAAAAGCAATTGACAGCCCCTGATTGTGCAAGGTGTCCCACTTAAAAAGATAAGAAATCTGTAATTTTCATCAAAGGCACACCTCAATTGTTAGACAGAATGTGAATAATCCATTTTAATGAATTTATTATATAATGGTGCAGAAAATAAGTACTTAGCACCAAGAAAAAAGCAAGAATCTTGGCCCTCACAGACCTGTAACTTCTTTTTTTAAGAACCTGTTTGATCTCCTTATCAGATACCAGTCCACATCTTCAAATAGAACAACTCTGACCTCCACAATTGCCAACACCAGAGAGCTGTCTAAGGACACCGGGCACAATATTGTGCATATGCACAAGACTGGGATGAGCCAATCTACAATAGGCAAGCAGGTTGGTGAGAGGAGATCAATTGTTGGAGCAATTATTAGAAAATGGAATAAATGGCAATAAATGGCAATCTTCTTCGATCTGGGCTCCATGCAAGATCGCACTTCATGGAGTGCAAATGATTTTGAGAATGGTGAAGAAACAGCCCAGAACTACATGGAGCAAACTGGTCCTAAATGGAGCTAAGACCACAGAAACAATAGTTACTATTTGCCCGGTGACGGCCCCAAATGATCACAGCTCTGGAGAAGATCTACATTGAAGAATGGGCCAAAATACCAGCTACAGTATGTGCGAACCTGGTGAATACCTCTTTATTTATTTATTTATTTGTTTATTTATTTAACTTATGTTTTTCAGGAGGATGAACTGCTTGAGATGTAACATCTCGTTTTCGAGCAGGTCCTCCTACAACACAACCAATAACAAATAAGGTGGCAGAGTTAGAAAGTTAAAACAGACTTAAAAAAAAGGAAAGTAAATAATAGTAAAATTAACAATATGTATAAATATATATATACAAACGTAAGTATAAACACATAAGCATGGATACATAGATACCCACACGTGTACATACGTACATGCATACCTATATACCAAATTAAATTAAATAAAACTGCTGTGAGGCACTCAAAGAGAAATAAGGGCAAGAAATTACATTGTAAATAAACCTAAAGTGAAGTAGTATCCCAATTGAATACAAAGTTTGGCAACGAAATACAGCATGTTTGCCAGTGAATGCACAAAATCATCATAGTAAAGATTAAACAAAGCAACTACAGCTTGGCTTTACGTAAGCATAAACAGTGCGGGAAAATTGACGAATTGTTGAGATAGATCTTAATTCAGTGGGTAATTTATTCCAGTCCAGAGGAGCTTTAACACAAAAGGTGAGTCTACCCACCTCCTTTTTAAAACGAGGAACAACAAATGATGGAAGAGTAGTTAAGCGGGTAGAATACAACGAATCAATGGGAACCAAAAGAGTTTTTAGATAAAGTGGAAAATCAAAATAAATGCACTTAAACATAAATATCAACCAATGAAATTGTCGTCTAGCTTTTAAAGGAAGCCAACCAAGAAGTTCATACATATAACAATGATGAGTGTTAAATGAACATCGCAAAATGAAACGACACAAACAGTTATAGACGACATCAAGAGACTAGAAGGCTAGAAACTGTTGAGTTTTGGTATAAAATATCAGAATAATCAATGATCGGCAGCAGAAGCTGAGTGACGATGCGCTTTCGTACAGTAGGTTCAAAGCAATTTATTGAGTTATAAAGGATACGTAAACACCGTGTGACCTTAAGACATGTTGTGTGAATGTGAAATTTAAAAGACAGCTCTGGCTCTAGCCAAACACCTAAATATTTCATTTTAACAGACGGTTGAACCGGGGAGGAATCCAAAAAATAAAGAGTAAGAGTCCTATCACTGTCAGATAGAGTACTACATCTATGAAACAGCATGGAGTAAGTCTTAGATTTATTTAAAAGAAGTTCGTTCTGAGCTAGCCAGAGCTGCACTTCATCAAAATTAGACTGAATAGCTTCTTGTAATTCGGATTTACTCGACTTTAGAATAGAAAAATACAATAGAATAGACTTTATTAATCCTACAGTGGGGAAATTCACTTGCTACAGCAGCACAAAAACTCAGAGAAAAGGAAGAAGAAAATAATAAAAACACACAAAGCAAATAAGCTATTATTGTAACCTCCTCCAACCACTAAAAACAATGAATAAAAAGAAAACGTGGGTTTCCGGAATCGTGTAGCACAAGGGACACAGACTTACTACTGTACAGCCGGTGTTTCACAATATTGAACACATACTGAATATTGCATTGACGTTATTGTGTAAAAGGGTAATGCCAGTAATAGGTAAACTGAGGAGTTAAACATTCTTACTGTAGAAGGGATGAAAGACCCACGGCAGCATTCTGTTTTACATCTGGGATGTCTCAGCCTCCCACTGAAGGAGCTGTCCATGGTCTCCACAGTGGAATGCAAGTGGGTGGAAAGGGTTTTCCAAGATGGAGCTAATCTTCCCCAGCATCCTCCTTTCACACTTCTCCTTTAACTGAATCCAGTGGGCGGCCCAGAACCGAGCTGCCAAGGTTACGTTACAAAGTACTGAGGTGAACTGTCACGGCTGCAGGCAGCAATGTTGCCTATACTGTAGAATCTCTTAGTCTAGAGCAGTGGTTCCTAACCTGGGGGTCCCGACCCCCACAAGGGGGCGCCAAAGCCTCTCAGTGGGTCGCCAGGACCTCTCCACTTTAAGGGGTTAAAACTTAATTTATTACTTGTTTATAGCCTACATTTTGCTCACACTTTTTTCATGAGTGAAAAGTTTACTGATATTAAGACAGGAAATAATTAGTACAGAAAAAGTAACACACTTTTAAGAACATTTTGCTCAGCTCACTGTTTTATTTTCAAGTGTCAAAAGTTCATTAAAGATAGGACTGGTTGATTAATCACAGCCTTTACAGTAAATAATCTAGTATAAACAGTAATATACACATTTAAGTACATTTTGCTCAGTGTATTTTTTATGAGTCAAACGTTTATTGAAAGGAATGATTGATTTATCGGTGTTTACAAGAAACAATGTGTTCAGAAAAGTAATACAAACTGTCAAGCACATTATGCTCTGTTTGGTTTTGTTAATGACTTTGTTCTGTACTGGAGCCTACTATTACTGTTATCTATCGAATCAAAGCATATTAAAATGTGCTTGAACAATTTTATCGTTTCTTAATACTGTTTGTACTGGAAGAGAGAATGGGAGGGGGTCGTCAAACATTTTACTGGTAAAAAACGGGTCCCTTGGGGAAAAGGTTGGGAACCACTGGTCTAGAGTATTGTTAAATTTAAAAAACAGCGCTTCTTTCCAACTAATATTAACTGTTTTATTTTTATTTTTTCAGAAGAATGGACCTTCCCCTCTTCATGAGGATGCTGCTTTATGCAGTAACCCTCAATGTTTTTGGTGCTTTTGGAATCAGTGAGCTGAACAACGGACACAGATGGACTTGCCAGAACCTGCCAGGTCTGCTAGTGACCGAAACAGCTGCTCTAAATGAAAGTTTGTTCAGAGGGACGGAGAAGAACGGGGTAGAAGGAGAAACAGGGGTATTTTGTGGCATTGAGTGTCAAAGTGCTCTACCACCAACTAACCAGGTGGAGCAAGAGAGGATTCTGGGATATGAGACGTTGTATGAAAATGGCTCACGTACGCACACAGACATCAGTTTGCAGTGTTTGGACAAGACACCAGCAGGAACTCCTGCAAGCGCAACAGTTTCAGTCCGCAGGAAACGGCAAGTTTATGGTGCAGATGGGCGATTTGTGATCTCAGATTCCAACTTCATCACCAACTACCCGTTTTCTACTGCGGTCCGTCTCTCCACAGGTTGTTCTGGAGTTCTGGTTTCTCCAAAACATGTGTTAACAGCAGCACATTGTATCCACGATGGCAGGGACTATTTAGAAAGTGCAAGACATCTTAAAGTAGGCTTGTTGCAGCTGAAAACAAGAAGAAGGAGGATGGGAAGGAAGAGAAGATGGAGACAAAGAGATGGTTTGAAACAAAACGACAAACAAGACAAGAGGGAAAATGAGGAGGGAGGTGAGAAGAATAATCTAGGAGTGAAAGAAAGAAGAGGGGGTGAAAAGAGAAGAGACAGACTGAGGAGAGGAGGAAAACAAGATGGAAAAAAGGAGTTTGAGAGAGGAGTGGGTGGAAAGAACAGTCTCAGTCGTATTCGCCGCAGCAATGGACCAGGAAAGCAGTCTGTCTTCCGTTGGTCTCGAGTTAAAAAAACCCAAATTCCTCAAGGATGGATCCACACCAACAATGTGACAGACGCTGTGTCCATCGACTACAATTACGCTCTCCTGGAGCTGAAACGACCAGTCAAGCAAAAGTTCATGGAGCTCGGCGTGGCGCCCAAGTCACCTCTGGCGCGGATCCATTTCTCAGGCTACGACACAGACAAAAGCCTTCCTGATGGACATGCAGAGAAGAAGGTTGTTTATCGTTTCTGCTCGGTTGTGAAGGAGTCTGGTGATTTGATGTACCAGCACTGTGATGCACAGCGTGGGGCGACAGGGGCAGGTGTTTATATCCGCCTCAGAAGGGATAAGGAACACGAGAGCGGGAAAGGAAAGTGGAAGAGGAGGGTGATTGGGGTGTTTACAGGTCATCAGTGGGTGGAGGCCGAGGGGGGCGAGCAGAGGGACTTTAATGTTGCGGTACGGATCACATCTTCTAAATATGCCCAGATTTGCCACTGGATTCACGGAGACCCAAGACTTTGTAAAGAGGTTTGATCTCAAAAAGCAGCAAGACAAAGATCTGTCCTTACCCTCAGAGAAAAACTAAAAAAAAATCCGAAATCATGCATTAAAAAATTTGAAAGAAAATAAAACAAACAGAATTAAAAGTTTATTTTAGGCGGAGAACTAAAAACTCCACAGTCCACCTGTTTTTACTTGTATAACTCAAACGGTTAAACCCTTTCAAATGTTTTCTATGGTGACTTTGACAAAGATGTAAATTCTATAACATTCTCTCTAATTTACAAGACTGAGGCAACAATGACGTAAAGCAACATTTTAAGATTTTTTTCATGTGTCATAAAACTTTTGTGCTGTAATAAAATCAAATTAAATCTTTCTCTGAAATTATTTGGGAGCTTGAAAAAGAAAGAGAGTTGTTGCTCTATTGCGTTTATGGGCTTAAGTAGAAAAAGGTAATGATGAGTCTTGAGAGATGTGTCAAAACTAGTCCACCAGGGGGGGGCAAATATGGATGTTTTGGGGGTGTTTTATTGACACCATTTACATGAAGGGTTTTCTGTATTTATTTATTTCCATCCATCTATTGTCTGAACCCGCTTTGTCCACGTAGGGTCGTGGGGGGAGCTGGTGCCTATCTCCAGGGGTCAATGGGCAATCAGGCGAAGTACACACACGACAAACAATCACACACACACTCACACCTAAGGACAATTTAGACAGACCAATTAACCTAACAGTCGTGTTTTTGGACCGTGGGAGGAAGCCGGAGAACCCGGAGAGAACCCACGCATGCACAGGGAGAACATGCAAACTCCATGCAGAAAGATCCCAGGCCGGGAAACGAACCCAGGACCTTCTTGCAGCAAGGCAACAGCTCTAACCACTGCATTACTGCGCAGCCCTATTTATTTATTCATTCATTCATTCATTCAATCATTCATTCATTCATTCATTCATTCATTCATTCATCAGCTTATATTTTAGGCGGACAACACCACTTCAGATGAAACATCTTGTTTACGAGTCAGTCCTCCTACCATGGAGAAATAAAATACAAGAAGACAGAGGCAGTACACTGCAAAGGTGTAGCTACAAGTTCTGCTAAATTAACCTCTTTATGTCTATGTACCGTAATTTCTGGACTATAGAGTGCACCTCAATATAAGCTGCACCAACAAAAAAAAAGGTTTTCCACACACACACGACGCACTCGAATACAAGCCGCGGCGCAGCAGCCACATGCAGGTCTCCGGCGCACAGCGCATGTACGGCCATGACGTAAGATAATCAGACAGAAAGACGCTACACGGAGGTTTTTCGTTGTTTTAATTCAACAAAACGAATTTTAAACACGGGTGAACGTGCCTGCAAGTGTAGAAAAGAAAACAGCGCTGATAGCATTCATATTTCTGGATGTTATAAAATAAAAACAGCACTGACACGTTATTACCGGTCATTTGCATGTTTAGAAGAAAAGAACAGCGCTGACACAGCATTAATAAGCCCTGGATGATTAGAAAATAAAAACTGCACACAAAACATGCCTGGTTAGTAAATAAAACACTCTTGTCTACCAGAAGAAGTCATTCGCTCTCATCTTCCTCTTGCGCACTAAAGCCATTAAAGTCCTCTTCTTCAGTGTCGGAGTTGAACAGCCTCAGAAGAGCTTCGTCACATACCTTTTCTGTGGCGATGTCAGTGTCGCTGTCCGTGTTGCTGTCATCATCCCCGGGTGAAGCTGGCTTGAATGAGTTCTTCCCGCTGCCGTCTCCAGCGCCGAACCATGGATTCATTCATGCCAAGCTTACGTGCGGCAGCGCTGTAATCTTATCTTTACAGTATGCTCTAATGGGAAACAGGCTTCAACACAAACGGTTGTTTTCCGCTTGGTCCTAGAGCTCAACCAGTGTCAATTTAATATAGTGTAATGTTGCTTTTGGATGGTAAAAAGTGCAGGGGTCAAACCTTGACTTTGGAAAACGTGTGTGTGTGTGTGTGTGGGGGGGGGGGGGGGAGGGGGCATGTCCCCCCTGTCCCCCCCAAAATTACATCCATGAGTTCAAGTGATCAGAAGCTGTTTGCTTGTCATGCATGAAGTGTTGGCGTACCAGCATGGGACCAGGAAACCACCAAAGCTATAGCCTTAAAATAGATTCTTAATAAACCCATACATACGACACATATGATGCCCAAAGAGAGTAATTATAATATTTTGGACAAAATAGAAACAGTGGAGATAAAGTTCAGACCAAGAATATCTCATAGTGAATTTCTGTTTGCTCTACATAAAGGTTGATTTGAGTCAAGATGTTTTCTGACCATTCTTATGTTGTTCTGAACATTGTGGAAATGTCACCAACCACCGTAATAACACACCCTGTAAAGACGCCACATGAACGCGATTATCAAATTTAAAGGATGCTTGGACAGATGGACGGGTGGACGATAGGACCATTTTAGGGAAATTTATGACAAGCTGACGTTGTCAAATAGCAGTCCAACCCTCCTCAAGAATTAGGAGAAAGAATTTCAACAAGTATCTGTTATTTTTAATATTTTCATCAGTAAACACAAAAATATTTTTGCAAAATATTTTCATGTTGTAAATTATTTATAATCTGAATCCTTGGAAACAAAATTACTTGAAGGATGTGTAATAAACAATAACACATTTTGTTTCTCATTCTATGACAGAAATCACACCTTTAACTGGGATTTTAAATCAGAGTTCTGCAGTTGTTTTGACGTTTAAGCTTGGAGAAATCCTGTCATCCTCCTGCAGAGGTTGCCTTTTTTGACGTATAGTGCAAAAATTGTAAAACGCAAAAGCGTACAGGAGTGAATTCAGACATTTACAACTGCTACTGCTACAGAAATCCTCCTGGTGGACATGTACATTTTCAAAAGGTTCTCGTTTCTCAGACAAACACCTGCCACTCCTGCCAAATTTATAGTAAAACGGTAAAATGGCCTGTATTTGATATAGCACCTTCTAGAGTCCTGGAACCCCCCAAGGTGCTTTACAACACAATCAGTCATTCACCCATTCACACACACATTCACAAGCTGGTGGGGATGAGCTACAATGTAGCCACAGCTGCTCTGGGGCGCACTGACAGAGGCGAGGCTGCCGAGCACTGGCGCCACCGGTCCCTCCGACCACCACCAGCAGGCAACGTGGGTTAAGGCCTAGACCACACGTAGCCGGGTTTTTTTAAAAACGAATATCCGCCCCTCCAAAAACTTGCATCCACACCACCTCGTTTTAAAAAAAAACTCTGTCCACACGTACCCGGATAAATACGTTGTTAAGGACATGCCAGACCTGTAGGCGGCAGTACTTCCCCCGTTCTTAACCTCGTCCTTCGTCTGTGGTCTTCCACAAGGAGCAGTAATTCCTCTTGCAAAAACAAACAAGCAGAAAGCGCTTGGACAATTGATAAAGCGAGCGCAGCTCTGAGGGCATCTATGCTGTCGGCTAGTGTAAACACAGGTCGCACACGTGATGTCAGCATTTTTTTGTCGCGGAAAGTGACGTTGCGGACCTTAAAACTCCGGTTTTGTCTGTCCACACGCAGACACCCAAAACGGAGAAAACGCAGATCTTCACTTTGGCCGGAGTTTTTAAAAAGATCCGTTTTCGTGTGAAAAAACTCCGTTTTCGTGTGGACGACAGGCCAAAACGTAGAAAAATATCTACGTTTTGGCAGATCCCCGGCTACGTGTGGACAGGGCCTAAGTGTCTTGCCCAAGGACACAACGACAGCGACAGACTGAGCGGGGCTTGAACCTGTAACCTTCCGATTACGGGGCGAGCACTTAACTCCTGTGCCACCGTCGCCCACAGTAGTAAAATATGGAATCTACTAGCCTGGCCAGACTCCTCCTCTGTTTGATTCTTTCTCTGTGCAGAATTAGACAGAGGAGTCTGGCAGGGCGGACTAGGAATCCACAATGATGCTGGTAACCAGTTGGGTTGTTTGGGGATAGTTGAAGACTCTTAAAAAAGAACAATCAGAAACAAAAGTAATGTTCGAGGTTTAAAACAAGCCAAACAAGCTGAAAGTGTCTGCATGACACACAAAAATGAAATAAAATTATCTGACAAATAAATAATAATATAGAATTCATGTTGCATGTTTGCAATTTTTCTATGATCTTTGTAAAAGCTAATACAGAAAGAAATGTTTATAAATCATTAATAATATTAGAGACAAGCTGCAAGTACAATATTAAAAAACATATCATTCCTTTACAAATTACAACCCTACAGTCGGGGTGTCGTCCGGAGTTTGGAGAATTCTTCGTTTCTGCTGAATTGGTTTCCTTTTGTGGCAAAAGGTTAAATAATGATGAGAGGTAAAGGTGTAGAGGAATGGATTCAGGCATTTGTTGAAAAATGTCACTGCTGCAACAATGTCCCATGTGTACTTGTACAATTTTAACATCCTTTCATTTTTGAGGCTTATGGCTGCCACACCCAGCACAGCTGTCACGTGATACGGAGTCCACAAAACAAAAAAGCTCACAATGATGCTGGAAATCAGTTTGGAAGTCTGTGGATTGTTGAAAAAGGTCGCCTGGGTGACCATCCTCTTCAGGCGGATGTATGAAAATGCAACAATACTAAATGAAGCAAATAATGTTACCGTCTCTGACATCAGCATGGCCGACCACTGGGCATCAGAAGCATACTGAGCTCGGCAGTCTACCCGCTGCTGATCCGGTACCAGCTGCTGAAACACCAAATTAGGAATGGACAGGATCAATGCAACCAGCCAGAGCAGAAGCAACACTAGTCTTGGTCGTACCTGTTGATATTTCTGCTGGTGCACGACCATCAGGTAGCGCTGAACGCTAAGTCCGGTTACAGTCAGCATGCTGCCATAAACACTGCTGTATCCAAAATACACCAAAACTTTACAGGACGCCAGGCCGGACGGCCAGCCGTAGAGTAAAGCATGAATCCACATAGGAATGGTCAGCAAACCAAGGAGGTCAGAGACGGCCAGATTCAACAGTAAACTCTGGCTCAGGCCAGACATACGCTGCCAGTTTGGCCTGAGAACAATTGCAGCGATGTTTCCAGGAACTCCAGTAATGAAGCAGAGGGACAAAACCACGACAGGGACCAGAACGTTGGAGGACCCGTCCGGATGGGTTTGAAGTCCTGAAAAGGATGAGAAGTTTGAAGTTCCCTCAGTGGAATTAAGCAGATCCATCGTGCGTCTTGCTGCTGACATTGTGCACTGATGGTGGGGAATGTGTAGCCCACACATATGTTACAGGGGAAGTGATGTCATGAGGTTTTTGGGTTTTGTTTTCTCAAACAGGAAATTTAAAAATAAAGGTGCTGATGCAAAGTAAGTGAGCTATTGTTAATACTTTACTGTTCTATAACAGGTTGCATTGACTTGAGTACTTTACAGTCAGCATTGCTTGTAAAAACTCTATTGGTAGATGCCCTCCTGGTAGCGTGCACGTTAGAAACATGACTTTGCTGGTCTGGAGCATCCAGGTGTGTGTCGACACACAGAAACAACTGATGCTGCTCTTTTATTTAAAACAGGAAAAATGTCATTTGCTAACAACTGGAGTTCATAATTTTACAGCGAGAAAGATCATTCACAATTAGACCGTCACAGTTTGCCTTTGATTGCCTGACTGGATCACCTGACCACCCTACTATTAATTCCTAAGTCACTCAGTGCTGAGTTGTCTGACCTTAAAGGTGTGGTTCACTCGTTTAATCAATGCATTTGTAGTGGTTTCTAGTAGGATTCAATGCCTTGTAAGTTGTACTCTGGGTACAAAAAGCGCTGGTGCACCTACTTCAGGATCTAGAAAATTGCCAGAGCAGAGGAGAGCTTCAGACGGCAATGTGAACGTGCCAGTGACTCATTTTGCTCTGCAACATTGATGTTTTATCTCCACAAACAACACAAGCCTGGAGGAGTTCTGCTGTGTGGTGGAGTTGATGATGCTAATGGGGTTGTCTGTGGTGTGTTACTGAATATAACACAACTTCACCACAAGATGGAAGAAAAAGTCATTAAACCGGCAGAACGGAGGCCTGAAGCCCGACCCTTTCACCGGCTCAAAGAGAGTGAAATCTACACGGCCGCGTTGGTATTAGACGGACAAAACTCGTGTTTTACTCCGCCTGAAGGCCACGTAGTAAAATGTCGATTCCACACACCGGAGTGATTTACAAGAACCGAAGTGATTTACAAGAACCACCGCCAAAATCCAAAGAGGATTTTAGGATGCAGAAGCACTGCGAGAGAACGGTTTAACTGCTTATCGGGGCGCGTAACCCGAGCGTTAACCTATTTAGCTACTTAGCTCTTCGGCTAAGCTTGGTAGTGTCTGGTGCGACCAGACTGAAATTTGCCCGATTAACCAAACGTTCCTTAGCAACGAGGTAATTTGGGACTTTATTGACTGCACTCTGGTGTGCAGATGTGGTCTGCGGTCTCTAACCACTGCTTAAAGCTGATAATATTAGCGAGGTATGCTAACTATTATGCTAGCGCGGTTACCGGAAAATAAACAACGCGGGGATCAGCATGTCAACTGTTAAAGATTGTCCCACAAAGTTGCCAATGTTGATTGCTATTTCCTGTTTGTCAATTTCAAAATCATTAGTTTAATTTGAAGAATTAAAACTTTTAATTGTCAAACTTGTTTCTTCATTGAATTGAAACACAGACCCACGGATATTATCGACAGTTTATCGATGAAAACAACCTTTGAGTCTTCTTAAAACTATACAATTTGGTTATTAATTTAATAAAATTAATATCACAAATTATCATGTAGAATGGTTCCTCTTTCATAAAAGAGCATAAACCACAACGCTACAGTTTGACCAGCCAGCCAGTTCTACAGTTTGGCGAGCCTATCCAGACTTCTATATCTGCGATATATCCACTTAAAAAAGTCTGCCCTGTTCACCGTTCTCTTGAGCCACAACAGAAAAGAGAACAAGTCCAAACAGACTCCGCCATCAAAATGGCCACCATCAGAAAAATATTCAGGTCCATTACTGATGTGCTTTTACTTCTCAAACCACCGATGTTGGGTTAGATGAGACAAAAGCAAAAATCCAGAGCAGAACCAGAAGCAGTGTTTTATTTAGCTGATGACATTCCAGCTGATGCACCACCACCAAGTATCGTTGGACGCTTAAATATTTTGGTGTTTTGCTCTTTTTCTGGCTGCAGATAGATGAATAGAATAGAAAATCCCTTTATTGTTCCTCAGTGGGGAAAGCTAGACGTCACAGCAGCGATGACACTTACTACAGGAGAAAAAAGGAGAATAAAAAAAAGAATAAACAACAAGAAAACGTAAATCCTGAATAGATTTAAAAAATGCTGAATATACCACAAGTAATGAATACCACTGATGCGTTTATTTAAAATGGACTTGCTCGTGCGAAATTTGGTTATTCCAAATTCATAATGCAAAAATAAGTTTGTTTCCAAATTAAAATGTTCAAAATTGCATGTATGTTGATAAAATGTGCAAATTTGCCGTCACTTTTTCAAAAAATATTAAGTTCGGCCCTCGACTCCGTCCCAGACTTTCATTTCGGCTCTGTGTGAATTTGAGTTTCACACCCCTGGTTTAAAGGAAAAATTTCTGCTGCTGCAAAAGAAACAATATTGTAACCCTACAGAACCTGTGGTGAGACCGGTGACTCGGCCCATTTCAAGCAGCTGCAAAATTGCATCTTGAATCTTAAATTTCAAGTTTGATCACCCCAAGTAACATCCTAAATACATACATATCTCAAAAAATATTTTACTCCTTGGATTTATTATTTTTTTCAGCACTTGCTGTATTTATTAGTCGTTTAGTCCCATCTGCAGCTTTTTGATTTAGACAAAGACTCTAACATTTATATCTGAGAATCAGATGATTTTATTTTCTTTGATTATTTTTTTTCAAAGGTTGCTTTTTTGGCAAATAGTGCAAAAACTGTAATGAGCAAATGCATGTAGGCAGGGCTGCCAACTCTCACACACTGAGCGTGAGACACAAGCATTTGACCCTCTTCACATGCCACACCTCCATTCTCTCACGCTAAACCAGTGCCTGCGCTCCCCAAACACACGTAGCGCACAGTGTGTAGGGCTTATGAAAATAAAAAGATTATATTAATTATAGCATTAGCTACTGAACAACATGCACACAAACAACACTTAAGTAATAATTGAACTGGCGTTATTTCACACACATAATCCCATCTGTATAATCCAAGCCGATTACATTAATTATAATTAAAAGTTCAGAATTTCCTGTCAGAATTCTGAGAAAAAAGTAAGAATTCTCTTTCTTTTCTTTTTTTTTCTTGTCAGTGGCTCCAATCCTCTTCTGTACAGAGTAGAAATAAATAAATAAAATGTAGAGCACAAAAAGTCTCAATATTAATACCCCCACCCCAGTGGCGTGTCCAGATCTTTTAAAATGGGGTGGCCCAGGTGAGGCACAGCTTTGTGCATGGGTGGCACCAATGGTTATTCTTTTTTTCTTTTACCCCCAAGCCTTTTGTGGACAATGAAAAGCCTATTTAAAAGTAAATTAGTGTGGTGGCACCAGGGGTGGCCAATCAGATTCCAAGGGTGGCATGTGCTACCCAAGGCCACATATGATTGTTCCAGTCCGTGACGAAAAGAAACCTTCAAGTTCATGTTCAAGTGATCAGGAGAAGCTGTTTGCTTGTCGTACACCAGAATAGGACCAGGAAACCACCAAAGCTGCAGCTTTAAAATAGATTCTTAGCGAACCCAACACATGTGACGGTCACAGAGAGGGACCAGAATGTCTTTGCACTAAGCAGACAAGTCGAGCTAAAGTTCAGACCAAGAATAGCCCAAAGTGAATGTTATCCACATATTCACCCATCTACATCACAATTTCTGTTTGGCATTGTTTGTAGTATGTTTGGCAGCCACATTTGGGTGGTCTACCAATGTCAAGGTGAACAAGATGTTTTCAGCTTCGGCTTTAGCTCCATACCCGTTCACAATATCAGAATGAGCACGCTCACCAGTGGCGGTTCGTCCATAAGGGGCGCTAGCCCCCCCCAATAGTCTCACAGGAAGAAGAAGAAGATAGGAATCATAAAATATAAATGAATAAATAAAACTAAATTATCTATGCATCATACAGATAACTGCGGTCTGTAATCTGCATTAAAGTCTAGTTTAAAGACTTTTTCTCACTCTTTTACCATGACTGAATCTTCTTGTGACTAGGGTTGCACATCTCTCTGTGAAAAATGATTCGATGTGAATCTAGAGTCACAGGTTAGGATTCAATTTAAAAACAAAAGGCTTTTATTACAGACCGATTCGATTTAAATACACTGTAAGAACGAAACCATTTGATTCAGTTTATATTTTTTGAAGAGTTTTATAAAATAAAGATGCCAATTCTGTTAAAGAAACAGTACAAATGTCTTTTCAAAAACCACATTGTGTCTTTACCCACCATGCAAAGACTTAGTTTGGACGTCATACGGACGTGGTCTGGACCGTCTGCTGTTTGCAGGGTATGGCACGTGCAAAAACACAAAACAAAAACAAAAAATAACCCAGCATAACAAATTCACATGTCAGTGTATTTATTTTTAGACATGAACCAAGAAAAAGTGGATGATTCTTCAGATGGAAACTCTATAGATAAATATAATGGGTACCGAATTCGGTACTTTTTAAGGTACCGACCGAATTCCATAGTACCGACCGAGCACCGATTCACGTCATTTGAAACGGTGCCTCGTTTCGGTACCCGTCCTTCATAACGAGAACTTGCCTAGACAGCTGCGCATGCGCAAGAGCGTTATGTCATCGGTTGCTGCGAGCCAGTTGTAAACAGAGCAGCATGGTAGAAAGAACGCACGCTAAAGCTTGGGTCCACTTCGCTAAATGAGATGGGTAACTGGGTGATGATGAAACCAGCGACAACGATCTAAGTGAGACATCCTCATCTTAATCTGCTCCGGTAGGTAAATAAAATGTTTAAGATAACGTTAGCTTGATATGTTAGCTCGCGTTTCGCTAATGGTGCGTTCGCTTTCTCCTCGGAACCCCGAATTTCCGACTAGAAGAACATGAACGCGCTCTAAAGTTTGGCTTCACTTTACTAAATGCGACGGGTGATTGGGTGAAGATGAAACCAGTGACAACGATCTAAGTGTGAGGCATCATCGTTTTAATCTGCTC